AATTGATTAAAAAATTAAAATAAGAATACAAAACAAACTTTTTACTTTATTTTTGTAAATGCAGTATATTGTGACTTCTGTATAAGTGACTTGTCACAATAAAATATCAATTTAAATTAATAATAAAATAAGTAATAATAAAAAATAAACATTTTTTAAAGTATTATTGTTGTTTTTTTATTCAGTATGGTACCAATATAAATTACATAAATGGATGGATGACCTTACATTCACAAAAAGTTGCACCAAAGTTTGTGGCTCTTCTGATTTCTTCTGAGTGTTTTATTAAAGTGAAAGCGAGGGTTCAGGAGGACGTGTTGGGTGTCAGCGTGACCCGTGTTCATTCACTGAGCCCCACATCGGTCTACCATCTGTGTTATTCGTGCCGTTTGCAGCTCCTTCTGACCGAACCGCTGCTAATTAGGCCAAATATGCACTTTCCAGCACCGTCTGCTGCGCCGCTAATACAGAATTAGGATGGAGAGTTATGTTTGAAAGAGTCTTATGTGTTTATACGCTCTGGATTTGGATACAAATATCAGCCGATGCACAGATACACAGCAGGATTCATTTAGAGCAGACACACACACCAGCACAAACATATGTTCACACACTCGCCAAGCGCCAAATGTGAGTATAAATTGGCTTCGGTCTGGACTTTCTTTTAATTTTTTTCATTTTGATTTATATGATTGTCTGACCATCACTGATGACTGATTCTACATAAGACTCTTTTACCTCCGTGAAATCATCTGTGAATTTGACCGATGCTTTTATCCGAAGTGACTTGCATTACGTTAAAGTTATGCTTTATTTTTCTTCTTGCATTCCCTGGGAATCGAACCCATGCCAGCACATGATCTTTGTGTTGCTAGCGATGCCGTTCTCTGCTTCCCACATTGAATACTTTTAATACTTTTCTCCCCCTTCAAAAATACCTTTAGCAACATTTTGGAAATATATGCGAGGAATAAATGTAATATTTCTCTCATTAAGCCACTAAAATGAAAATATGAGAAACAAAATTGTGTTTTCGTTTTTGTTGTTTTGGAAGTGACCTGTGCCTGTTTGCATAGAATTACATGTTGGCAGTTTTTTAAACTAAATGTGTGCTTTTAAAATGAATTATTGTTATTATTATGACTTATCATTTTCTGTATTGAAAAATAAAGATACGTATTTGTGTAGAATGGCCATTTGTTATTAACGTTCTATATGAAGGCTTTAAGTTGCGATGGTAATGCATGAAAACCGTAACCAACTAAAGTTTGCTTAACTTAATAGTTCTTGTCACGATTTCATGCCAGTAAAACTTCATGGTTCTCAGCTCCAATTTCAATACTAATAAAAACTTTTAAACTATTCTAAAATAATGAAGTTCATTTTATATATAGTTAATTTTTAATGATAATAATAGTTAAATAGTAAATAAAATTATATGTTAAATTATATTATTGTGTGTGTGTGTGTATATATACACACACATGCTATAATATAATATATATTATAATATAACAGTATAATATATTATAGCAATGTTATTTATTTCTAACTATTATTAGCATTAACATTTTTTTGTAATAGGTAAAAAACTTTTTAAAAGTTGTATTTTACTATGTGGAAAAAAAATTAGTGATACTTTTAATACTAAATTTGTGCTTTTAAAACTAAATTATTATTTTCTTTATTGATGTATATATATATATATATATATATATATATATATATATATATATATATATATATATATATATATAT